AATATCAGAATATTTGTTGGTACACTAAACACGTTTAAACGAGTATTTCTTCTTTTTTTCCTCCTAAAAACAGCATTTCTTGATGCTGGACTGGATGATGCCCATCACAAGAGCTCAACCTCAAAGATCTTACACCGGGATTTTCTCTGTGCCTAACTCTGATGCCAATTGCCAGACACTGCATACTTGATCCACTCTGCTCTGCTTTATTGAGAGGAAACACCTGGAACATGAGAATTGTGTCCCCCAGCACTGTGTGTGAATGAGATTAGTAAATTCCAACCTTGTAGCCAGTGCATTTTCCCCTCTTTGTCTCACCTCTGCATTTCTCCAGCCCAGGAGTCTCCTCACCATTTCCCAGTACAGACCCAACCCCCACAATTTCGCCACCCCTGAGAGTCAAGCACGTGTCACAAAGAAAATGCATCTCACCCTTAAAAATCAGTGAGTCAAAGGAGACCCCCTGCTGGTGAGAGGGTGATGGCCGGGGAAATGGAATCGCTGACGTGCATTTTAAATGACTTAATATGATCAAGAACACCACCCAGTTTGCACCAGGAGAATTCTGATGAGCTCCGAGGAATTAAGTGATTCCAACAATGTTTGCTGGAAGAATCTGAAGTCATTGGGGAGCAAGCAAAATATCACTTTGAGTAAACTATTCCCTGACCTCAAGACAGCTCAGCCTCTGGCACCATTCAACCGCTGGCTCCTAACCACTCACCTGCCTGCCAGCCTGCCTGATTGCCCCTAACCGCCTCTGCCTCTGCCCCTGCCCACCATGGCAGCTGCCTCTGCCTCGGCCCCTGCCACCAGGGCTTCGTCCGAAAGGTTGTCTGAAAGGAGTCTGGAAGGTCGTTCGGCTGTCCAGTCTAATTAGCATATTATGCTTTTATTGTTATACATTTATCAAACATCAGAATATTTGTTGGTACACTGAACATGTTTAAGCGAGCATTTCTTCTTTTTTTCCTCCTAAAAACAGCATTTCTTGATGCTGGACTGGATGATGCCCATCACAAGAGCTCAACCTCAAAGATCTTACACCGGGATTTTCTCTGTGCCTAACTCTGATGCCAATTGCCAGACACTGCATACTTGATCCACTCTGCTCTGCTTTATTGAGAGGAAACACCTGGAACATGAGAATTGTGTCCCCCAGCACTGTGTGTGAATGAGATTAGTAAATTCCAACCTTGTAGCCAGTGCATTTTCCCCTCTTTGTCTCACCTCTGCATTTCTCCAGCCCAGGAGTCTCCTCACCATTTCCCAGTACAGACCCAACCCCCACAATTTCGCCACCCCTGAGAGTCAAGCACGTGTCACAAAGAAAATGCATCTCACCCTTAAAAATCAGTGAGTCAAAGGAGACCCCCTGCTGGTGAGAGGAAGGGGGTGATGGCCGGGGAAATGGAATCACTGACGTGCATTTTAAATGACTTAATATGATCAAGAACACCACCCAGTTTGCACCAGGAGAATTCTGATGAGCTCCGAGGAATTAAGTGATTCCAACAATGTTTGCTGGAAGAATCTGAAGTCATTGGGGAGCAAGCAAAATATCACTTTGAGTAAACTATTCCCTGACCTCAAGACAGCTCAGCCTCTGGCACCATTCACTGTGGGCTGGGGGGCAGGGGGACCTTGACCTCAGAAGTATTACTGCCAGGCAAGCAGGGAATGACTGGCTGAGGGACAAGGAAATCCGGAAAAAGAAAGCCACTCAGTAGCTCCAAAGCACCTAGGAAACAAAGACAGGAGTTCATCACAGCAGCCTCAGCAAGGAACAAGCCAGCCTGTTTGTTTCAGGACCACAAGCAGAGGGGGTGAGGGCCAGAGTGAAAGCCTGTGGGACTCTCAGGAGGTGGGGAGCTCAACCTGCAGGGGGCAGCATTCCTAACCAGGAGCCAGTCATCACCATCCAGCCTGAACACTGGGTGCAGCAGGGGAGGGGCGAAGGGCAGAGAGCAGACTGAGCCAGGCAGTGTCTATTCTGATGGAACCAGACTCCCCAGCTCACCAGGAAGACTAGCTGCTCGCCGGCCTCTCTGATCAGGGAGAAAGAAGGTGATCATCAGGCTCAGAAACATTCAGTGTTACTAGAACTGGTACAAATGTCAGTCTGCAGCTGCAGTCACAGGTCAAAGAAAGGGGAGGCACTCCCATCATCCTCTCTTCAAAACTTCCTCCAAAGGGCACTGAATGCAGCCCTGGGTCCACAGTGCTGTGTTACCGGCACCATGCTAGACAGAAGGGTGTCAATCCCATCTATAAATTATCTCCCGCATAAGCCATTCAAACATTCAAGGACTTTGATGATCCTGTCGAGAGCACCACTGAGGGAGGAGGCCAGCCCTCGGAGGGACGGGGGAGCAAGCCTTTCCGTCGCACAGCCTGTACCGAAGGAGCAGGATTCGTTTGTGCCTTCTAAAATGAAATTTGAAAGAAGCAAGGGTTGAGGAGTTTTTAATTTATGTTTCATTTTATTTTTGAGACACAGCAGGATGTAATCAGCTTAGGAGTTCAATAGAGACATCCGTCTGCTTCTACCTGAGACCTCCCAGCTTGCTCTGCACAGCAGAGTGCTTTTTAATAAAGCAAGAGGAGAGATACACAAACATGCACACCCAGAAGGGAAAGTGGGGCCAGCGCAGGGCCCTGCTGAACCTCCCCTCCATCCCTGACTCCCCGGCACCCAGACTAGAGGCCTTGTTTCTCCTATAGGTGAGAACCAAGGGCCTGCTTGCAGCCAAACTTCATCTAACTGTCATGGCAGCTGGGGGGGGGCAGGGAGGGGAGGGGGGAAACAGCTTCTAGAAAGAAGAAAAAGTCCTCAAGATTGGGGTCTCCTCCAGAACTGCCCTGGTTACGGATTCTCAATGCTGCTGCCACTTTTGGACACAAAAGACCTGGAAGAAGCGTTCAGTCGGTCAGTCAATGGGTGTTTAGTGAGCACCTGCTCTGCGACAAGCCCTTGGCTAAATGATAAAGAGATAAAACATGACAGACACAAGTTACATGCAAGTCAGAGAGGAGAACTAGAACCAACAAGCACACAAATGAGCAAGGGAAATGGAGAAAAGGTTAAGGGCTGCGAAAAAGACAAGCGGGGTGATGTAAGATAGGGTCACTGTGGAGGGGGGGCCACTTGCCACAATAGTCAGGGAGGGCCACTCTGACAGGACACTTGACACTTGGGTCATAACCTGGAGGCTATGAAGAAGGCAGCTTTCGGCACAGGGAGCAGAAAATGCCGCATCGGCCCCAGCATGCCTTGCGATGACGCCAGCCCCAGCCATGCCGGGTGCAAAGAGAAAACAGATAGACGTAAGGCATTGTGGACCAGGCAGCTAGCTCTGCCTCCCCCACTTGCCGGACAGTGTGCACACATGTGCCTGTGTGTTTATGTGTAAGATATCCCCCGTTCCTTCCACGCTGCAGCTGCCAGTCTGGCTTTACTTAGCAAACCCAAAGCAGACCCAGAGCATGGAAATACCGGGTTAACATGTCAACCCAGTTCACAGGCCATGGGAAACGATCCTGCGCCGACATCAGGGCTTTCTGTCCTTCACTCTGAGTGAAACATCACCGGCTCCCCGTCTGCATTATTAGGGAGACCCATGGGGAGCAAGGCACCTTTCCCTCCCATCATGGAGAGCAGACGCATTCCCGCACATTTCTCCAGGAGCCTGGATTTTTGCTGGGTCACTGCGCCCCATTAGGGTTGCTATGGTTACGCCAGGCCTGGGTTACCTGGACTTTTTTTGATTTTTATGCTATTGTTTGTTTGGGGAGAAGAGGGTTTCTTATTTTTTTTGTTTGTTTTTCTTTTAAAACATTTTTTACTTGTCTGTTCGTTGCTTTTATTTACCTGGAGTTTTGCTTGCTGGACGCAGGGGCCACAGCTGCTTTGCTGCTTCTGTAATTTGCCAGGAAAGTGGCAGAGAGGTTCTAAAGGTAGAAATGCTACACAAGACCCCCGAATTTGGAAAGATTCCGGGGGGAGGGGCACTCCAGCCACCTGGCAAACTCAGGCTCTTTCCTAAACCCACTAGCCTGCACGCTTCAGCAGGGCAGGCCCCAGTCCGACACATCTCCGCCTCCCCGGCACCTCAGGGTCAAGCCACACAACACCAACCCCTACATAATCTGAAGGAGATTCAGAGGCAGGGCTACTCCGAGGTGAGCAATGGGGCTCCGTCCCCTGTCTTCCTGCAAGACATTCAGGAAAATCAACTCACCAAGGGAGGGAGGGCTCCTGGAGAGAATGGGCATGGCAGTTACCCTGGGCAATGCGTGCGCAGGGCCAGAAAAGATGGTCGGAAAGGCCCCAGGCCCCTATATTACACATGAGCGCATCCTGGGCCCTGCCCTCACGTAGTTTGCAATCCAAATGAGGAAACCAAGCAGGGAGACTCTACCTTAATCTAAATATTAACCTTCAGAGTCTAAGCCTTAACCACCAGAGCTGGTATTTCATCCCCACGCCACGCTTGCTCCCACACCCACCACCCACGACACAGGTCAGTAACAGTCTTGTCACTCTTTCTCCTTTGGGCCCAGGTAAGGCAGCCCCTACCACTCAGGTGAGGTTTGAAATGAGACCTATTTCCCCGGCTTGATGTCATCTGCAAACTTGAAGATTTTAGACCCCCTCCCCCCCACACCCCTCTCCCTACACACACACAGTTGAAATATACCTATTCTCTCATCTCCACAGACATAAGCCAACTTTCCCCTAGGGAATGGGATTTGCCTCCCAGGTACCACTGACGGTGAAACAGGCACCCACCCACCCATCTCACTCTGCCAACATCAGAGTGTGACCCAGCCCTTCAACTGGCCGACCGACAGGCAGTCCTGCTTCTGGAGGAGGGCTGGCCCAGAGCAACCGTCTGACAAACACTGTGCATGTGCAGCGATGGAAGCGAGACTTCCTGGCCACACCGCACCTGTCAGCATGTCCATCTCTGAATGTCAGCCAGGAGACACTCACTTACCACTGCTGCTCTGAGGGTCAAGCTCCGGAAATGTGATCAGCCCTCCATGTTCTGTGAAGGCACAGCTCACCATCCAGAAAATCAAGGCCTCCAAAGGAAACAGAAAATTCTGGTCTTTAAAGAGTAAAACCGACTCCCTCCCCTCGTGTCCCCAGGAGACTCTCATAAAGTCAATCTTCTCATCGAAGCACAAGTTCCACATCATTTCTAATTGCCTTAATGGGGGAAAGCACCCCATGGACCCTTCCAGGCCTCTCTCTTCAGTCTTGAGAAAATACATTTGATTAATAATCATGTAATTACATTTCCAGTTCAATGACCACGATCAGTGGGTGAGGCGACCTAGGAGCTTCTAAGATTGAAGTACGTCGCTAACTCAGACAAGCAGCGGCGTTGGTAAAAGGGGTGTCATTGTGAGTATTGCAATCACCCTGGTGTGAAAGTATTGGAGTCCAAATCATCTTCAGACCTTTTCTAAGGACAAACTTACCTCTATTAAATCGAATGGATGAAATTAGGGAGACAGAGGCAAACAGAAGCTGGTCCCTTAGAAAAGGGGCCTAAGAGGAGACAGCAGAAAAGGCGGCGCTGATTGCTAAAATACCCGTCATTCCCTCACCTCCAAACCCCAGCTGCTGTGCTCAGGGCCTGATATGCTAGCTATTTGCCCCACCTGCTTGGCTCGGGTTTGCCAACTGTCCATCATTTGCTTATCTCCTTCACAACCTCATTCGCAGTCCCCAATTATTCAAACACTAACCTAGGCGCTGCTGTGAAGGTATTCTGTAGATGTGATTATAGTCCATAATGAGTTGGCTTTATGAAAGGGGTATTATTCTAGAATGTAGATGATATGAGTGGGCCTGGTGCAAGCAGATGAAAGACCTTAAGAGCAGAAGTGAGCCTTCCCAGAAGCAGAAGAAATTGCTACCTTAGCCCATGCCCGAGAGTTCCAGCCTGCTCACCCTGTCCACCTGCCCTGTAGATTTCGCTCTCCTAGCCAGACCATACAACCATGTGAGCCAGTTCCTTCCAATAAACTTCTTAATACATACATCCAAAGATGTAAACTGCCTCTGTTTACTTGGTTGAACCCTGACTGATACATATAAGATACATAGAATTTAGAGTGTTTTCTTTCAATCCACTCACCTTTTTTTACTAAAATACATTCTCTTTGTTCACCAAGTTTATATCCTTGCCACAAGTAGGGTACCACTTGCCATAATGGAAGGAAACCATAAAGATAAATACAATAAAAACAGAAGCAACGCCATGACATTCCAGCGGGATGCTATTACCTGCCAAAGGCTCCGAGCACGAGGCTCATGCTGACTACTGTAGAAAGAACCTAAGAGAGAGCTGATCTGGTGCTGGGATGAGTCTGAGTCATGGACCAAGTCTCAGGGAAAACTCACTTACCACTGCTGCTCTGAGGGTCAAGCTCCGGAAATGTGATCAGCCCTCCATGTTCTGTGAAGGCACAGCTCACCATCCAGAAAATCAAGGCCTCCAAAGGAAACAGAAAATTCTGGTCTTTAAAGAGTAAAACCGACTCCCTCCCCTCGTGTCCCCAGGAGACTCTCATAAAGTCAATCTTCTCATCGAAGCACAAGTTCCACATCATTTCTAATTGCCTTAATGGGGGAAAGCACCCCATGGACCCTTCCAGGCCTCTCTCTTCAGTCTTGAGAAAATACATTTGATTAATAATCATGTAATTACATTTCCAATTCAATGACCACGATCAGTGGGTGGGGCGACCTAGGAGCTTCTAAGATTGAAGTACGTTGCAAACTCGGACAAGCAGCGGCCTTGGTAAAAGGTGTGTCATTGTGAGTATTGCAATCACCCTGGTGTGAAAGTATTGGAGTCCAAATCATCTTCAGACCTTTTCTAAGGACAAACTTACCTCTATTAAATCCAACGGATGAAATTAGGGAGACAGAGGCAAACAGAAGCTGGTCCTTTAGAAAATGGGGCCTAAGAGGAGACAGCAGAAAAGGCGGCGCTGATTGCTAAAATACCCGTCATTCCCTCACCTCCAAACCCCAGCTGCTGTGCTCAGGGCCTGATATGCTAGCTATTTGCCCCACCTGCTTGGCTCAGTTTGCCAACGGCCCATCATTTGCTTATCTCCTTCACAACCTCATTCGCAGTCCCCAATTATTCAAACACTAACCTAGGCGCTACTGTGAAGGTATTCTGTAGATGTGATTATAGTCCATAATGAGTTGGCTTTATGAAAGGGGTATTATTCTAGAATGTAGATTATCTGAGTGGGCCTGGTGCAAGCAGATGAAAGACCTTAAGAGCAGAAGTGAGCCTTCCCAGAAGCAGAAGAAATTGCTACCTTAGCCCATGCCCGAGAGTTCCAGCCTGCTCACCCTGTCCACCTGCCCTGTAGATTTCGCTCTCCTAGCCAGACCATACAACCATGTGAGCCAGTTCCTTCCAATAAACTTCTTAATACATACATCCAAAGATGTAAACTGCCTCTGTTTACTTGGTTGAACCCTGACTGATACATATAAGATACATAGAATTTAGAGTGTTTTCTTTCAATCCACTCACCTTTTTTTACTAAAATACATTCTCTTTGTTCACCAAGTTTATATCCTTGCCACAAGTAGGGTACCACTTGCCATAATGGAAGGAAACCATAAAGATAAATACAATAAAAACAGAAGCAACGCCATGACATTCCAGCTGGATGCTATTGCCTGCCAAAGGCTCCGAGCACGAGGCCCATGCTGACTACTGTAGAAAGAACCTAAGAGAGAGCTGATCTGGTGCTGGGATGAGTCTGAGTCATGGACCAAGTCTCAGGGAAATGCCGATCAGAGAATGATACAGAACTGAGAAGAGAACACATTTCTCACCTTGTGCTCCATGCTATTTGATGCGATGTCCATGCATGTCCCATCCAAAACCCTCTCCTGCACAACCTGAGGTTTGGCCCAGAACTTGCAGAGGCGACGCTGCAAGGTGGTGGAGGAACGGCCTAGATGCGTTAACCCTTCTATGCGGTGATGACTAATGCGGTGATTAGTCAATGTCTGCAACAACTGTTTATCTGCAGAGAGCTGCCAATCCCAGCCACAAGAACAGTGCAATCAAACCGCTAACTTCATCTTTCCTATGAACCCGCAGGACAGGGCCCGCAGAAGGCTCCCTAGTGACACATTAGGGTGCCCCTCCCTTGGTAAGGGAAGCCACAGTAATGCCATCCATTCCACAGAAGCAGGAGGAGGCATCACCCCCAAACTCTCAGGTGTGACTGCTGGGCTCCCTGTACCCCAGGAAGCAGTGTTCAGAAGGAGAGGCCCTGGCTCACTCCCTGCTTCCTAAGGAACTCGCTCTGCAGGCCATGCCACTCTGCATAGCTCTTCGCCCCACTCATCACGTGCAGTCATCAGATTCACAGCACACAGCTGGGCTCTTTTCTAATTCCCGCCTGTGTCACAGGAGTTCCTCTTGTTTGGTAACTGGCTTCAGTTGTTTACAAGTAACCTGTAGGAAACCAAGCCAGTGGAAAGGCACAGTAGATGCACCTGAGACAGGGACTGTAGCATATTAGGACGGTCCTAAAATTGGCCAAATAATGGAAAAAAGGTTGGGTGAAGGTTCTGGCACTTCTCAGTGGGGAGATCTTGGAGTGAATTGCATACATTCTCTGACCCTCTGTCTCTTTTTTTTTTATTGCTAAAAGTATTACAAAGGGTATTACATATGTGTCCATCCTCCACCCACCCCCCCCGGCCCTTGACAATCCCCTGGCCTTTGTTTACAAGTAACCTGTAGGAAACCAAGCCAGTGGAAAGGCACAGTAGATGCACCTGAGACAGGGACTGTAGCATATTAGGACGGTCCTAAAATTGGCCAAATAATGGAAAGAAGGTGGGGTGAAGGTTCTTGCACTTCCCAGTGGGGAGATCTTGGAGCAAATTGCATACATTCTCTGACCCTCTGTCTCTTTATCTATGAAATGAACCCAGTAATAGAACTGTGGAAGATGCCTGGTGTTTCATCTTCTTTGGATTAAAGGGCCCTGGTTTCCTTTGGGAGTACCATCCCCTCAGACTCCCAGTCCATGTGCTATGCCTGGTAGGATATAAGCCAGAGCTACTAGTGGGCATTGTGGCCACTTCATAGAGCGTTTCTGCTGAGAACAAAGTCAATACAAAGGAAGGCAAAGCAATGAAGAGAACAAGAGAGAGTTCAAGCCCATCATTTGGGCACCTGGATCTAGCCAGGCCTAAGCTATCAAGGTTTATCCCAAGGACTTTTTTCAATATCCTTATCCAATAAAACTGGCGCTGGTAGGATATAAGCAAGAGCTACTAGTGGGCATCTTGGCCACCTCATAGAGCATTTCTGCTGAGAAAAAAGTCAATACAAAGGAAGGCAAAGCAATAAAGAGAATGAGAGAGAGTTCAAGCCCATCATTTGGGCACCTGAATCTAGCCAGGCCTAAAGCTATCAAGGTTTATCCCAAGGACTTTTTTCAATATCCTTATCCAATAAAACTGGCTTGGACATCAAGGAGAGCTGAGTCAGGTTACTGTCACCTGCACCCTCACTAGGTAACTCTACCTAAGCAGGTGATATGAGGATCCAATGAGAATGCTGTAAAATCACAAAGCCCAATGTGGTGCATAGTAAGTGCTCAATAAATACTCGCTGTCATTTTGGGGGGCTCAGCTGAAATAATGCACCTGAAGTGCTTCTCCGACTACTCGCACAGGGTGGGCGCTTATTCAACTCATCATAGTTGTTGCTTCTCCACAGGAGCCACCTGGAGCTCCAACTCATCCAGCCAGCCGCCCAACCAGCCAGCAGGCTCATATGGCCGAAGCCCCACATTTCCGGCTCCAGAGGTAAAACATTAATAAACCAAAAATGATTTTTTTTTTGTAAGTGACAAAGCTCACTGTAGCCACCACTCGGCTCTCTGTGGCTGAGTGAACCTAGGCCAGTGATGGAGAACCTTTTGAGCTCGGCGTGTGGGCTCCAGAGGTGAAACATTAATAAACCAAAAATGATTTTTTTTTGGTAAGTGACAAAGCTCATTGTAGCCACCAC